GGATTTCAGACATCTCAGACTCTAGGGCTCTTATAAATAAGTTTATTTTCTTACTAAATCAGCCAGTTTGGAGCCTAGGGAGACAGCTCAGTAGAGTGCTTGCCTGGCAAATATAGAACGCTTGCCTGGCCCTCGTTCAATCCCTGGTACCACAAAAATAAATAAATAAATAAGCCAATTTGTGATATTCTGTTGTAGTAACGTGAAGTGGATTAAAGCTATGTTAAAGTACTTAAACTATCAGTAGTTTATTAAATTACTTTCTTCCAAATTCGTTTCCCTTCATATAAAGAAAAGATACACAAACTAAAAACAGGTATGCAAGTCTAGCAAACCACACAGAACCAATAGTTAATTATTCTACTCTGCAGGGAGTAACACAATATGTCAATTAGCATATGCAGAAAACAGCTTGATTGGCCTTATTTCAAGAACCCAGAAGACAGGTGATGGATGTGCAAAAGCGTTTGATAAATGAAAACCTTTCATTAAAACTATCTTTATAACTCTAATAATGAGTATTTGCACAGTCTGCACAGTACATAATTTGTGGTTATTAGCATAATTAAAAAATGTAGCAGTTATGGGGCTGAAGAAACGGCATGGTGGCATAAGCGCCTGCTTGGCAAGCACAAGGTCCTGAGTTGGAGCCTCACTACCGTATGTCAGACTGGCCCTGGAACCTGGGATGGTGGCTCATGCCTATAATCTCAGTGCTGGGGACAATCACTAAGAGTCTGAACTTCACAGTGAGACCTTGTATCAAAACAAAAAATTTAAAAATGTAGCAGTTAAGATGAATGAAACACAGATATACTTTTGTTTTTGTTGTCACAGCTCTAGGGAATCAAACCTAGAGCATTGGCACTGGACTATATTCCTAGCTGTTCTTTTATGTTTTATTTTGAAACAGGGTCTCACTAAGTTTCTGAATTGCCCAGTGTTGGGTGGAATTTACAGTTAGCGTCCCAGAGTGCTAAGACTAGAGGCACGGGCCATCATGCCTGGCTCAGGTATACTTCAGTGAGCATGGCGATAACTAAGAAGTATGATGATGAAGGATATGTAGGGAACAAAGGCAACATTATTAGCAAATACTTAACATCATTTTACCTTTTTATAGAGAAGCTGCACTGTAAGGTATAGCACTAGGTTTTCTAGTGTCAACACAATAATACAATTAGTATTACAAAGTCTACTAAAATAGTTGTAGTATAGATATCTGAAGCATTTAAATTATTGATATTAATTTTTGTGACAAAGTTTTTAATTGTACATATCTACACTTTAAAATTATTTCATAATTTAAGATGCATTTTAAAAGGTTGCTATTATATTTTGATCCTTTACTGTAAAATTTTGTTTTTATTTAAAATAGTAAGTCACTGAGTTAGTGCTTTATACATAGTAAGTTTAGTAAGTTGTTAGAAAACTATTACTGAAATTATAGAAATGTCCTGAACATACTTTGATATTAGAATGGCATAAGAGTTACTGCTTAGATTTCTTTTTTTTACAAAAATAGCAATTACCTACAATTTTAGGTGAGGATAACCCTAATTTGATGTCATCAAGGTTAAGTGTTTTTTTATTGTTAATTAATTAATTAATTAATTTTGCAGTACTGGGGTTTGAACTCAGGGCCCTGAACTTGCCAGGCAAGCGCTTATTCTACTGAGCTATCTCCCTGGCCCCAAGTGTTTCTTTCTTTTTTCTTCTTTTTTTTTTTTTTTAGAGGAATACTTACCCACTTATTATTCCCAAGAGGAGTGGAAAAGCCTTTATGTTCAGGAAGGTCTAGTGTTTGTGTTAACCTTGCAAGTCTCTCCCACACTTTATTCCAGTCTCTCTACAGGAAAAGAATTTGACTAACCTGGTTAGGAATATTTGCATTTGATGTGGAGCAGGCCGCGTGTGCCAAGCTAGAGAAGCTGCCTTGCTAGCTGCCAAGCTAGAGATTTTGCCTCTTAGCCTCCTAAGGTTCTTTGCCGTTTCTGTTTTCTCTGTGTGTCTGTGTGTCTGTGTGTGTCTCTGTGTGTGTCCCTGTGTGTCTGTGTTCCTCAGTTTGTGTTCCTCCCCTACTTCTCTTTCCTTTTATACCTGTCCTACTCTCCTGCATCCCATGTATTTATATGTGTTCCTGGTCTCTTTACCAGGAAGTTCTTAGTGAAGTGTTATCCTTTCTCTGCTCTTCTGCTCCAAGTCTTCCTGTGTTAAACTCTCGGGGAAAAGACTTCCTTGTCATTCTCTGATCCTCTAGGAGAGAAGAAAGAAAACCTCCATTGCTGTCTCTTGGGAGAGCTAGCATAATTTAGACCATTAATTCAGTAACTTTTGTTCCATCTTGACTGTCTGATCTACTCCAAATTGATC